ACTACCTCAACCCATCCACACAAGTCGACATATAGATAATATCATATACAGATTAACAGGCAGTATCGCAGGTAGTCCTACAGATCTACCATACTAGCATATCAATTCTAGCATGCATATTTATTCCATACTCAACATCTCAACAAATATCTGGTTATCAAACCAATCGGTCGGCCTTGGTGCCTTCGACCCGAAAGCACAGTGAGGAAAACTCTCCTCACAAGTAGCTAAACTGATAAGATATAAACCCGAATCTCAGTTGCCGACTTAAATGCCTACAACCACCATGTGACCAATTCCATTAAACCCCTGAAATACCCAAAATGCCCTCAAAGGTCACCTTGGTCAACCATGGTCAAAGTCAAAGTTAAAGGTCAAGGTCAATAGTCCATGTTGACCCAACTCATCGAGTGCACCCACAAACTCGTCGAGTTTCTACAGTATTCAGAAAGTCGGGGAGAACCCTAGCCAACACGCCGAGTTTTCCCCAACTTAACACATTCAGATGATTCTTCGATTCCGGGGACTCTAAGGCTCAGATTTGAACTCCAAATGTGTCTAAAAGGATAAAGTTTCCAACTTTATCCTTTGGGGCTACTCCAAATGCTCAAAAACCCTTCCACAAGGCTTGAAAACTCAAAGGCTTAACCATTAAGTACAAAATCCTTGAGATCTGGAACCCAACTTTTCTAGAAGAGATTCTAGCCTAAAAAACGTCCTAATGGTTGGTGCTTTATAGACATGCATGTCCAATGCATGTGTTGACCCTAAAATGGGTCAAAAAGGGAAAATATGACCTAAACTCCATGCATAGCATCAAAGCTTGGCTAAAGACCATATCTAACCCACTATAAGGTCACCTTGACCTAGAGATTCATAAAGTTGCAAACTTTATGAAGTCCATCCATTGCAACATCCAAGAATAAGGAGAAAAAGGGAAAAAAACTCAAGATCTGGCTACATAGATAGATAAAAATCGAATCTTGAATACTTACAACGGTCCAAAAGAGTGCCAAACTGAAGATGAGAACTTAGCTTGCTAGATCCTTGCTTCCTTCTTCCAACTTCTTCTCCTTTTTCCCCAAAAGAACCACAATAAAACACAAAATGATAGGGAAGGGAGATTAGGGTTCACTAGGGCTGCAAAAAGGGTTTGGAGGCAAAACCATAAAGGATCAACCCTAGGGACTTAAGGAGATTAAATAGAGTGCAAAACCCTAAAATTTAGGGTTTCTCACTCAGCCGCCAACTCGTCGAGTTTTCCTCACCAACTCTTCGTGTTGGTCCAAAAAGATACGCGGCCCAAAAGCCTTTCAACATGTCGAGTTGAGGCCATCAACTCGCCGAGTTCCAAAGGAAACTTGCCTTTTGAAGAATAAATCTCATACCTGGAAATCGGGATGTTACAACTTAACCACACACTCTCCATCAACAACCATAAATTCGAGTATGTGTCATCATTTTATCTTTGTAGTCCTACATCAGTGTGTCGGTTACCCATACGCACTCCACTAATGACTTGCAAACAAATGATGTGCATTTTAATGGATAAGCATATAATTTTACATTTTTCCTAAACTAACTAGAGCGGGAATTTATAGAAGGTTCTACTACTTTATACATTATACTTTTAATGTGATTAGTGTCCTATAAAACTTATTCAGCTAATGACCCTCCACCACACAATGAAATGGAGGGTGAAAAGGACACCCATTCAACGGTCATTTTATAGGTCGTTTCCTTATACCTCACTTATAGTATGGCTTCGTGAATGAGGCATACTACTGATTTGACTGACTTTCAGTTATACATATAGTAATATACTATTATACATATGTATAGGGTGTATTTTAAAAGTTTTTAAAACACAAGGTTTAAATTTAATTATCTGGATTAACAATTAATTGATTAATCTTTTATACCAATTATGGATTTAATATTTATCTTTTAACTAAACCATTAATTAAATATAATATTAAAATCCAATAATGATAATTCCATTTAATTATCTTATAATTAAATATTATGTTTCCTTATTTACTTCCTTGAAATTCGAATTAGGGTTTCAAAATTATCTAGCATTAATTGGTTCAGATTTTATCAGATAAAATAACAGATAATGACTAATAATTAACCTACTAATCGAATTAGGCAAGTAAATCTGAAAAAAAATCAATTTTTCAAAAGACATGTCGTGCCCTACAATGATTTTTTTCCAGTTTTCATCTCTTATGCACTAGTAATAGAAAAGCAGGACTCTGATACCACTATTGGGGTTTTTAGGTTACAATTACATTGTACATGCGGAATTTAACTTAACTCTTATGGGTATATGCAACCTAAATGGATCTATGTCTTTTCTCAATTAATAGCAACATACTTATGAAACAAAAACTATGAATCAAATTCATAAGTAGAACCATATACATCTTGCTTGATTTGAAACAAGCTAATCAGATACCCTTTGTAGTCTCCTTGAAAAATTAGCTCTAAAAGTATGGCCTCCTCTAATGGTTCACAACCAAAACTCAAGAAACCATAGGATTTAAGGAGAGAGCGAAGAGGAGAAATGAAGATAATTTCGTTCCCTACCTTCTAGGTATGAGAAGGCACGAAAATTAGATGCCCAAGGTTCATAATTATAGTTTAGGTAATTTGCATATGAATCAAGATTTGAATGATTAAATAAGAGATTTAATCACTAATTCAAATCCTTTCCTTATCTGCTACGAGGAGCCTTCCAGAAACCCTTACAATTCACCTCTTTCGCCTTTAATTAATTCCAATTAATCTCGAATTAAATCCAGATTAAATTCTGATTAATAATTAATCAATTCTGACTATCTTTTATTTAATTCATAATTAATTATTAACTATTTCTAATTAAATTACTAATCACATAATAAATTAACAAATCATATATCTCTATCCTTTGATCAATCCAAGTCATTTCCTGGTTATGAGGGCAGCCCAAAAAAGACTTTACTTTTATTCATCAACATTATACAAATTTAATTACGACCTTAGGCACTTTAATCCAACAAGTATATAGGTGGACACAACCACAAATGGAAAGAAAGTAACGCAAAAAGGTTGCAGAACTTTCCTTTTTCTCCAAGGCTTCGACGGATGTATAGTTCCAAATTCACAGCTAAAGATATGGGTTCCGGTTGATGGGAAGTTATGGCAATAATTTGATAAGAGATATTCAGAGTTTGCCAAAGAACCTAGAAATGTTCGTATAGGTTTAGTTGTTAATGGCTTTAATCCATTCGGCAACTTTTATAATACTTATAGTATTTGGTTGGTTATATTGACTACCTATAATACACCACCATGGATATGTATGAAAGAGTCTTCTTTTGTGCTAACTTTGTTGATTATTGGGCCTAGATCACCCACAAAGGACATTGATGTTTACTTGAGGCCTTTGGTGGATGAGTTGAAAATCTTGTGGGCCGAAGAAGTCCAAATGAGAGATGCATGAACCAACAATGTATTTAATATGCATGCGATGTTGTATGGACTATCAATGTTTTCCCATAACGTGGCAGTTTGTTTGGATGAGTGGTCAAGGTTATTTAGCATGTCCCACATGTAACGAAGTCATGTCTTCTATTTATGTGACCAACAAGATGTCTTATGTTGGTCACAAACAATTCTTGAATATGAACCATAACTAAAGGGAGAGTCTATTATTTGATGGAGAGTCTATTATTTGATGGTTAACCTGAGACAAGACCGCGTCCTAGATGATTCAGTAATGCAACTACATTAAAACAACTAGCTCGTCTCTCTCAGGGAAACGTCCTAATCACGTGTGTGAAAAAAGAAAACGCGACAATGAAAGAAAAAAGATAGAGTTGAATTGGACGAAACAAAGTATCTTCTTTGACCTTGAGTATTGGTCTTCCCTCGACCTAAAACACAATTTAAATGTTATGCATGTTTCGAAAAATATGAATGATAGTATTGACTACTAATCGTCAGATAGGTAATTAATTAAACTTTTTTTTTCGAAAATCATTCCCGACAAAACCTGCCCCGACGACTTGTCGTTGGTACAAGTAATTAAAAAACTTTTTTTTTTCAAAAATCATTCCCGACGAAACATATAGCGAAGACACCTATGCCGATGAATTTTCCAGCTATCGCGACATGTCTGTGCCGACGACTTATCATAGGTATACCCTATCTCGATGACATGTCGTCTATTGAAGAACAAAAAGTGTCGTCGCCACATGGTGTTACTCTTGTAGTGAAGGCATCATTGACATGCATTTTCCCTGGGTAATCGGATAGGTGAAGGTAATTGGAAGAGCCATGATCAGAAGCGCTTCCATCAGTTCTGTGAGTTTCTCTATTTGTGTCATCGCCGGCCATAATGATCTTGTGATTTAGTGATTTAGGGTTTTGTGGTTTGGGTTGAGCATGATTAACACCGCTCTAATACTGTAAAAGTTTTATTGACAAAACTTATGTTTTACAATTACAACCAGAAGAAGCCTAAATAGACAAACGATTTACAACTAATCTAGGAGCTAAAAACCCACTAGTCTAGGAGCTAAAAACCCACTATATAGAACGTGATTTTGGGAGGGAAAACAGGGGAGAAAGTTTAGTAATTCTATAATACAACGTCTAACTAAATAGTAAAAATATAATACTATCTAATCTAACATTTCTCTTTATTTAAAAGAGCCTTGTCGAGTCTTGCCGTCATCTTCATTTCTAAAGACCCAGATCATTTCTACTAACGAAATTTCTATTTCACATTTGGACAAAGTTATTTAATGATCAAGAATAATCCACGTTCAACCCACCAAGTCTTCACATCGGATTATATGTACATATATTTTTAACATCGTAAACAGGTTGGTGAGATGAACACTCTTTTACATTCATGTAATTAATTGATCACCCCCTTTGTGATTTAACTGTTCCTTCTCATGATTATGTGGGCAGTTAGTGAAAAAAAAAGGTAAAGTGGTCCATAAAGATTACATAGCATACATGCTGGCATAAATGCTCTTCGTGATGCGCCTTTGTGACGTTCTACTTCTTAAAGGCATCAGGCTCGTCTCTTCAGACATTTCTTCATAAACGTAGGTGTTGCCAGATATAATTTCATCATATCTTAGATCCTTGTTATACTTATCAATATCAACATGCACTACGTTCCCATAGTCAGAGATAAAAGTTGTAATTTGTTGGACATCTTCTTTGTAGATAACATGTGCCCCGCATCTTACAGAATGTTTTCCATTTGTTAGCATTACAGTCATGTCAAGATAACCTTCAATATGGCACCAATCTTCAGATTGGAGATCAAGATACATCTGCTGAAAAAAACCCAATGGGATATAGCTAATCCACGCATTCCCATTCTCGTCTGTTTCAGTTGCATTGTTCATACAATCAACCTCTGACGTAGGAATCACCTTTCCGTCACTTAGAATTCTAAAGATGATGCGAGGAAAATTAGCTCCGGACTGCCACTCCCCATGAAACACACCACATACCACGAAACCCATGATTTGGGTATGCCATTTGTGAGGAAGCTTCAATGCTATTCTGCACCCATGCTTTTCTTCTTTGAACCAGCTTGGAATCTTGCTTCCAGGAATGGTAATATTTAAACGATGATTTACAGCAGCACATTTCTGTAATCAAAGAAAAACATCTTGCTTAAACTGTTACTTAATGCTGTGCTTGTTACATGAAGCATAAAGGGATGGGGAACAAGGGGAAGGGACACAAGATTTTCATGTTCAATATCCTATCCTGCAAAACAAGCAGCGTCTACAGGAGAGAGAGAGAGAGAGAGAGAGAGAGAGAGAGAGAGAGAGAGAGAGAGAGAGAGAGAGAGGGGGAGAGGGAGAGGGAGAGGGAGAGAGAGAGAGAGAGAGAGAGAGAGAGAGAGAGAGACCACCTCAACAAAAGATTTCTGCAACATCTCATCAAGGTATCTATGATTCTCTTCGTCTTCTAACAGTTTATGACAATTAATTAGCCATATCTTATACAACCATTCACTCTCTTTTGATAAATTTCCGATCTTTTTCAGCGAGATACAGTCATTTGCCTTCAATTCTTGTATGCTTGACGGAAGCACACACAAACTTTGAAGTTGACTGCACTTATTCAACTCCAGCCGTTTAAGACGAGAAAGATGGAAGATGCTTGCAGGTAACTGGACTATCTTAGAGTTGCCACTTAAATATAATTCTTCCAACGAGGAAAATGCATCAAGATTTTTGGGGAAGCTACCCTCTTCAATTTGTCTCCAACTTAGATTTAATGTTCTCAAGGAAGACAGACTTGTCAAACTATGAAAACCAATAGACTTCTGAGGCCTTACTAACGCCCCAATATGATAAATAGATCGTATCCGAAGCTCTTTCAGTTTTTTCATGCTTTCAACGTCATCCGAAAATCCTAACCAAAGCTCTTCCAATATTTTCATGCTTCCAAGCTTCTTTGGAAGTTTTTTCAGTTTCACGCAGTTGTGAAGGTGAAGGCATTTAAGATACTTCAACTCACAAATAGAGTTTGGTATATTCCTAAGGTTCCAACAGTTTGTGAGATTCAAGAAACTTAGGCTAGACAAATATTTGATTGATGATGGAAGTTCTTTTATTCCAGAACAAGAATAAAGATTTATATGTGATAATTTTACCATACATGGGGAGACTTCTGGGAATCTTTCAAGACGCTTACATCCAGAAAGAATTAAAGTCTCCAAGGACTCCATCTTGATCCTGGATGGGAGACGCTTGAGCCGCCTGCAACCACTCATGTCAAGGTAAACAAGCCTTTGGTGAGATCCAAGAGACTCATGAACCTCCAACAAACTCCTACAATCTGACAAAATCAACCTCTCAATATTTGGGGCCCCAGAGACATCTGGAAACGATGTGAGGCTGCACAAGCTTTCGAGGTGAATGAATTTCAAGTTCGGAAGAATCTACATGTGTAAAACAGAAATTAAAAAGAAATTAATATCGAAATCATTCAGAATTCAATTCAAACAGAAGTCTTTTATTTTGATGTAAATGACCATGGACAACAAGATTCTGACTTCATTCACTAAATACCTTTCGCCCCTCCCATAGATGTTTAATGTTTCCTTCGGCCATTTCCAGCCCAACAAGCTTACACATATCTGCTAGTGGAAGAATCGAGAATGGGTACTCATTCCAACAAAGCCATCGCAACTCATCAGGGAGATATGTAGGTTGGGTAGAAGTGAATTTCCCATCAATATCAAGTAGCCGAAGATTTTTCATGCTTTCAAAAACATCAGCACTTAAACCCAACTTTGCATCATAGTCATCAATGTGGTATTCACTGTCCGAAATGATGGCTTCAATTGCTTCTAGATTCTGCTACAAAGAAGTAATTAACAGTGATATATTCTACTAAATCTGAAAACAAAAATTAGAAGCAAAAAAAGGAACTTAATAAACATAATGATTAAATTTACCTTGTTTCCCTTGATTAAATCACGGATTTGTTCATGTTGCCATAGCCTGCTATTTGGGGAACTCTCACGAACTATTCGAAATCCCATTTCCTGTATGAGATCATGCATATCTAGCTTTTTATTTGAAATGGTTACAAGACATTTTTCGATAAGAACACTAATCCCTATCACCGGATCAAAACCAAAGCTATCGAGTACTCTAGTTACATGTTCTTCATCTTTACCCTTGTAGAAACATGCGATGTCTAGGAATATTTGTTTTTCAGAAACATCTAGCCCATCAAAACTTAACTTCAGTGTCTCGAGAATCTTATCATTTGATGTTTTTCCTAGTCTATTTAAAGCACTTTCCCACACACCTAGTTGTCTTCCATGGAAGAATGAGCCTAAAACTTTCAAGGCTAAAGGAAGGCAACTAGCATAACGTATTGCACGATGTGAGAGCTCCTCATACCCTTCTGGAGGGCTACTTTTCCCAAAAGCATGCCTACAAAAGAGCTCAACTGCTTCATTCATAAATAAAAAATCAGGTTTGTACTTGGCATCTGCACCTGATAGCAAATGCTCGTCTCTAGTGGTTATAATGATTCTACTTCCAGGACCAAACCACTCATGTGTTGCAGCTAGGAACTCTAACTGCTTAATATCATCCACATCATCAAGAACTAGAAGAACCTTTTTATTGAAAATTAGTCTTTGTATCATGTTGGCTCCCTGCTCAGGACCCATAATAAAAAACTCGCGACGTGACGCTAGAATATCTCTTAGAATATTTTCTTGTAAGCCACAAATATCATTTTTACTAGAACCATTTTCTCTAACATCTTCAATAAAGCTACTACCCTCAAACTTATGAGCAATTCTTCGAAATAAAGCTTTGACAATAGTTGTCTTACCAATTCCTCCCATCCCCAATAGCCCTACCATGCGCACCTCTTCTGTCTGTGCCATACCCAATATTGAATATAACTCATCTATACGAGACTCAATACCAATTAGATTTTTCTCCATAATGGGTGGTTGTATACCATCTAAGATTTCTTCCACAATCTTGATGATAATGGCAGATTCACCCCTACAGATTTCAGCATTGTGTGTAAGTTAACTGATTAATCCCAGGTGAACCATAATACACGATTAGTACAGTTATCCTGAGGCTCGATCCTATTGTACGAAAAGATTATACATTTGGATTCCCTATTATTTTGAAGAACTTAACAATGAGAATTAAGAGTCGGTCATCCACTGAATTCTTGATTGCTAAGTTATATTAGCATTCGTAATCCTCATACGTTATATCAAACATTGTCATGTTCGAATTTATACAAGTAAATTTCATTTTCATTAATCTAAGTAATAGATAGGAGTAAGCTAATCTTTTCATTATACCCGTTTACCTACCAAAACCAGTTGTACATGTTGTTATCTTATTATGTGGTTAGTGGTAACTCAATGTTCTTCCACCGTCTCCGGTAGGTGTATCGATTTATTGATAGTAACTTCAAAGTTAATTTGATGATTTAATTTACATACAGCCCAGTAAATGCCAACTAGACAAAAAAAAATTGGCATGTCACTCTTGCTTGACCAATCAGGGGATGATAGAGAATGGGTTAAGGGTCTTATATAAATATGAGTAAACACGAGGGACTTAATTGTAATATCTATTATTATCTATTTTGCCCCTTATCTAGAATTATCTCAAGAATAGCATAAATAGAGGAGTGATAGGAGTAGTGGAGCGTCGAGTATTTTGTAATTTGGAATCATCGGCTTTAGCTTGGGTAGGGGGTTTCTCTTTGTAGAACCGTTCTAATTAGCGTAGGAAATTTGGATTTCCTTTCTATTGTTTTGAATCATTTGGTTTCAATCATTTTCAATTAATCTTTTCAATTCCATTTACTGTTCTATTGGTTTGTTTAGAATCCACTTATCGATTCTTATCAGGGGATGTCAATTGATACAAGAAAAGGCTAGCATGGTAAATAGATGAGATCCAAATTCAATTGGCTAAAAGACATTATCCCATAGTACAGAGGGATAAAAAATTAACCGCTTTGCACAAAATCCGTATCATTTAAGAACACAATAAACTGATAATAACATGTAAACTATGTTCATAAAGTTAAACTATAGCTCCATGAATTCATATATATTTTTTGTGTGTTTAAGGTCTACAGATGCAAACTAAAACCATAGTCACATTTTGTTCCTAAAGTTAACCTCATCACCCCATGGATTTCATATTCCGTGCATTTTGTACAAGGATGAAAAAAAAAAGTTGTCAGAGTTTGGCAGGCATAATTAAGTGGCAGGACGGATATAGGAAAACTAACCCATTGCCTGTTTCAGAAACATGCCAGCCAGATAAATTGGCAGCTGCAGCTAAAGCTTTCCTCCACTTGTGCACTTTATCCATCTCCTCCCTAAAATTTTCCTCGTGTTGCTGAAAGGCAGTATCAAAGTCTCTTTTCTGTCTACGCACATGGGATGGATCGACGTGGTAGAACACTGGCAACACCATCTGTCCCATTTGATCTTGGCATTCCATGATTTTGACAAGCTCATCCAAACACCATGAGGAGTCGGCATAACTTCTAGAGAAAACAACAACTGCGTACCTCGATTCTTCAATGGCTTTCAGCAGCTCCCTGGAGATCGATTTGCCTTTATGGAGCGCCTTCTCGTCTTTGAACACATGTATTCCTCTTTGAACTAGGGCCGTATAAAGATGATCGACGAAATTGTTGCGAGTGTCTTCGCCTCGAAAACTTAGGAATACGTCGTATGCCGATCTTGAATTTGATAGGGAAGATGATGAATATGGAGACGACTTGAAGGACGCCATTCAAGGGTTTTTTTTTCCAATGAAGAGGCAAAACGCAGCAAGTCAAAAACACAAAAAAGAAGCAAATCTCATCCTCTCTTATTAAATCTACTAGTGGGGTCTTTAGTCCGTGGATGATTGACTTTTTTGTTTGTTTGTTTTTTTTTGACAAAACTGCACAAACGGTCCTGTGGTATGTCGAAAATTGACACTTTGGTCCTAAAAAGTTTGGACTAGCACTAGAGGTTCAAAGTTTTCATTTTGTTGCAAGTTTGGTCCAGTTTGTTTTGAATTTTTTTTAAATGCCTATTTTGCCCTTGGCATTTTTTTTTTCATTTGTTTTATTTATTTTAACATTTCTTGATTAAAAGAAAAAACAAAAAAAAACACCCCAACCCAACCCTTACGTTTAACATATTAATTTCACCACTGTTGCCGGTCACCACCACTCACCATTGTCGCATGACACCACCACCACCAGCTCACAAGCTCAGGTCAAACAAAATTTTTTAAGATTTGAAAAACAAAATAATCATTTTTTTTTCAGATTTGCATTTTAAACATGAATAATCAATTTTTCTGCAAACTCAAATTTTTCCAAATCACTCAAACTAGAATGAGATTACTCAAGAACAAAATATCTCTACAAACTCGATTTGTTTAGATCTCAAAAATAAGGATACATTATTCTACATTTGCAAAATCAAAAACCCTAGAAGCATTCGGTTTTTCTAGACATATGCATGATTATCGTTTTGTGAAACTGAGTTTTCTAGATCTGCAAATAAAAAATACAAAGACCTTCAGATATTGAGAATGGAAACCAAATCAGTGGAGAAGAGGATGGATGTTTTGGGTATCCTGATCTGGAACGTCACCATGATCGTCTCTGTCGTCATCACCGTCAGCCATCATCGTCAACCACCACATCATGAATGCTTCTGAAATCTGTCTTCACCGATCATAACTTCGATCTAAAAGTCCTCGTCACCGACAAAAACCCTATTTTTGCCTTCCTTCATATTTGAACGAAATCCAAACCAGTGTCTTCGTCGGTTTTCCGATCTACTTCGTCATCGCCGCCACTACATACCAGATCCTTCGTCTTTGAATGAACCCTCTTACATCGTCGTTTGGGAGGGAGGACGACAGATCGGTAACTTGACGAAGAGGATGGTTAAGGGCGATGAACTGAGAGAGAGAGAGAGACGTTCCTAAAACCCTTGCGCCGTTAGAACCTGGACCCCTTCGTCGTCGCCGCCTCTACAAACCCTAGATATCTCGCCATATCTGTTCGCCGCCATGCTCGTCGGATGGTCAGTGTCTTTAGAAAGTGGAAAATTTCTGAACATCGGTGCCGTTGGAAAACCAATAGATCTCGTCGGTCTCGAGGATGACAGATTTGTGGGTCGTCGGAGATGGCAGATTTGAGGGAAATGAGGATTTTGAAGAAGAAATGAAGAACATGAGAAAGAAAAAGGGTTAGGTGTATTTTATTTTGTTTTTTTAATTATTTTTTGAATTATTGTAATAAAAGAAAATTATAAAATAAAATAAAAAGGGCAAATCTGTCATTAAAAAAATTTTCAAAAATTTTGGACCAAACTTGCAATAAAATGAAAACTTTGGACCTCTAGTGCTAGTCCAAACTTTTTTGGACCAAAGTGACAATTTTCGACATACCATAAGGACCATTTGTGTAGTTTTGTCTTGTTTTTTTTGTTTTTTATTTTTTTGTTAGGAATTCTATTAATCTCATTCATTCGAAATAAATGTTTTTACAAGTTGATGGTATTTGATAACGTAATATTACCATGACTACAAGTGTAATCCCTAAAATCACTCCTTATTTTAGGGATACTTGGAATCTCTCTCTCATATAGGGATGAGATTTAGAACCGGAAAATCAGACTGCAACCGGAACCGTTAGAACCGGAATATATAGAACCGGTTCCGGTTCCGGCTTTAAAAAATGGCTTTATCCGGGTTCCGGGTAATCCGGGTTTGGGTCCATCGGGTCCGGGTAAACCGGGTCTAAAAACCGGAACCGGTGTTTGGAACCGGAACCACTTTTAGGACCGGAACCGGTTTTTGTGAAACGTTTAAAAGATGTGTATCTCATTCGTTTCAACTCCGATTGACATGCGGTTTTTTCCAAAATGTAGTTTAGAGTTTGTACATGATTTTAGACTATAAATTTGCTATTTTTGGTTTTATATTCATTGACTTACAGTCCCCGAAAGTCGAGATATCAAATCTGGAAATTTTTAGTTTTTCAGTTTTTTTGTATTCGGTGAAAGTTTTAAAACATGCATATCTAATTCGTTTGAAGTCGGATTGACATGTGGTTTTTTCCAACTTATAGTTTACAGTTTGTACATGAGTTTAGACTATAACTTTGTCATTTTTGGTTTAACATTCAATGATTTACAGTCCTGCGAAGTCGGGATATCAAAACTGGAAATTTTCAACTTTTCAGCTATTTGTTTTTGTACTGTGTATTATGTGAAAATGTTAACACATGCATATCTCATTCGTTTAAAGTCGAATTGACATGCGGTTTTTTTCCAGAGTGTATTTTAGAGTTTGTTCATGATTTTAGACTATAATTTTGTTAATTTTGGTTTCATATTCAATGAGTTATAGTCCCCCAAAGTCGGGATATCAATATGAAAATTTTCAAAGTTCAACCCACTAAGTAGTAAGTAATTACCAAAAAATTCCGGTTTTTCCCGGTTTTCCGGTTCTAAACCCACTTTATCCGGTTCCAACCTACCCACTTTGATGTTTCCGAGTTTTTCGGTTCTAGACCCACTTTACCCGGAACCGAACCGGAATCGGTTCCTATATACCGGTCCGGTTTCCGGTTCTACAAAATCTCGTTAACCGGTTCCGGGTCCATCCGGTCCGGGTTTGGACCCACTTTCATCCCTACTCTCATATATATATATATATATATATATATATATATATATATATATATATAT